TTACTGGTGACAGCCTTTGACAAATCGGTTCTGGAAGAGGAAAGTAAAGTTTTGTCGGCATGCTTTTTTAGGCTCCCAAGGCCGATAAGAAGCCTGTGTCTGGGCATTTTAGCAGACGTGGGATCTGGAGATTCGGAAAATGAGTCCTTTTCGTCACTGCCAGATCGAGAACTGCTGATGCTGGAGCTTCGATAACTGGGACAGGATTGAACGTGAATGTAGGTCTGCTTGTCTTCAGTCTCAGTTTCACGGTGGTAAAAATAGTTGAAATTTGAGACTATCACTGGTACGGGAAGCGCAATCGTCAGAACGCCTGCAATGGCACAAAGTGATCCCACTAGCTTGCCCCAGACGGTCACTGGACGCATGTCGCCGTAGCCAACTGTTGTCATAGTTACAACCGCCCACCAGAAGGCATCGGGAATACTACGAAAATAGGTTTTGTCTGCATCCACTTCGGCAAAGTAGACTGCAGAAGAAAATAATATCACTGAGATAAGAAGAAAAAAGACAAGAAGCCCAAGCTCTCGAATGCTAGCCTTTAGCGTCTGTCCAAGAATTTGAAGTCCTTTAGAGTGACGAGAGAGTTTGAAGATACGAAAGACACGGACAAGTCGAATGACTCGGAGGATGGCTAGTGACATAGCCTGATTCTGGCCCTTGGTGTCATCTGCAATCACGGTTCCCAGGGTTATAAAATATGGGATTATTGCAACAATGTCTATAAAATTCATGATGTCCTGAAAAAAGGCCAGCTTTTCTGGTGAGGAGGCAAATCTAACCAGGAGCTCAAAAGTGAACCAGATTATGCAGACTGTCTCTATAAGAAAAAAAGGCTCCGATATTTGTGGCAGATCATCTTCTTCAATGATAAGATTCTGCATCCACTCGTAAAAATATTCATCAACCTCCTCTTGTTGGTGGGTGATGAGACCTTGTGTTTGCGGTCTGTAGTTGGGATTTTCTGGTTGGGAGAGATTTTCTGTGTGTTTGTTAGAAGTGAATAGCAGCACGGAGGTGGAGTCACTGGTACCTCGTTGCCGAATACGGTAGTGTTTGAAATGGGGCAGAGTTTCTACACAGAAAATCACGATCGAAAGTACTATTACAAAGATTGAGCAAATGGCTATGCATCTAGCCGCCATTGAGCTCTCCGGGTACTCAAAGAGCAACCATACCTTGCGTTGAAAATCATTCTCTGGTAGCACCTTTACCTCCTCTTTAATAAAGCCCTCATCGTCGCGGTACTTCTCGATGGCTTCTTCATCCAGTTCATAGAAGTGTATCTCCTCTGTGAACACGTCGATTGGCACATTGACGGGTCTTCGGAGACGACCACCGCTCTGGTAGTAGTAGAGGATGGCGTCAAAGCTAGGCCGATTTCTGTCAAAGAAATATTCATTCTTTAACGGATCATAGTGGCGGTTTCGCTTTATCGGATTTCCTAACAGTGTGTTGGGAAACTGATTCAGCGTTTTGAGATGAGTCTCGTATCGAAGCCCCGAGACATTCACAACAATCCGTTCATTCTCCGCCTCGTAGCCAGAACAGACTTGGGCGCATATGAGATGGTTGTTTTCACTGATCGTCTCCGTCTGACCGAGTCGAGAGCCAAATTTGTTATAGCCCTCAGTGCTGCTTGTCGCCTCGTGAGGCAGGCTAGTTTTGAGGCGATCATGAGACCTGAACAGCCGCGTCTTAGTCTCGGCTTCCGCCTCCGCCTCTTCTGCTTCCTCTTCCTTCCGTTGCGTATAGTCGTCATATTCGTCTCGCTCCTGTTCTCCAATCATTTCTCTGCACATCTTATCGTTGTCCAATGCTCCCATCGTCTTTAGGGTCCTCTTAAGTCTGGCATGTCGAGCGAGGCCGGCCCTTTTGGATAGGCCTGTACGGCGACTTGATTTTTGTCCAAATGCTGATGCAACAGCTACACCTCCTACCACAGCCACAGTCGACGCCACCGAGGTGGCACTGTTGGCTGCAGAGGACGACGGACTAGCGTCATTAGCCTCCAAGACGGCTCTCGAAAGGCCCCCAACTGAATGCTGGCCTACTGTCAGGCCGATCGAGGCTCCAGTGGCCGCCAGAGAGACGAGTCCGGAGGTGAAAATAGAACTGGTACCTCCTCCAGGGCCCCCATCACCGCTGCTGGTGGTGATTGATGAGACGGCGTTAGGCGAAGAGTAGGAGGCGATCGAAAGACCGGTTCCCCCGCCACTCGAGGAGGTGTAGTGACGCGAAGCATAGGACCTGCGAGTATGGCCACATTTGGCGCCAATGACACCGTCAGTTACATCATTATTTGATAGGAGAACGCCTCCCACGGGTTGAAATGATGTACAGTCCGGCGATAAAGGAGTGTCGCCATGGCAGCCGAAGGCCGGGGTGACAAGGTGTTTTTTCAGCGGAGAGAAGAGAGTGACGGGGTAGGGTGCCGGGATGAGGGTGGAGGAAAGATGGAAGAAGGAGAGAGGGGGACAGTTAGTCTGATTGTCAGAGAAGTTTGAGTTAGTTCGGTTGCCAAGGGGCGGCCAGTCTAGCATGGAGGAGATATTAGATTCGGCCCGAATAGAGTTGACTGAAGGCTCGAGAGTCGAGGAGTCGCTGGTTGATAAACTCCTCCTCTCGGTCCGAAACCTGGGAAACCGATGAGACATGCAATTTGGCCCTGTCTCAGAGACACCATAGGTTTCAGGCAAAACTATTTGTTCAAATCCCTGTGTCCCGGGACGGTTTTCACCCGGAGAGGTCTCTTTGTTCACATTCTCAGCTGCTGTCAGTTTGGCCAGTTTAAACGAGCCATAATTATAGCCGACATGTGGTTGACCAACACACTTCATTCCGAGGCCACTTTCTTGGTCTATATTGTACTCTGTCCGGTCAATTGGAGACAGCTTCTTCCAGCGCTCTTTGCGAAACCTGCTTGTTCTGTCACGAGCTATACAAGGTGGTGAAGAGACTGCGTGTCGGCTAGTGCATAGCTCGTCCCTGAACAAGGAGCTCGATTGAGCAGAACTCGCTGACACCTCGAAACCGGCAGAACCACTGACTATAACAGCCTCACTGGAATCAGATTGAAGGTCGGGCAAGGCATCCGAAGCTGCCGGGTCTAGGTCGTTTTTGTCGAAGCAATGATATCTAGTTATAGAGCACGAGGTGCTGCCATGAAGCGAGAGTTTACTGGTTTGCTTGCAGCTGGTGAACACTTTCTCAATCGGCATACCGTGAACAACTGGTCACCAAGGTACCACTGGTCTAGTTTTTGTTATTGGTTCTATATCATACATCTAAACCCTGTTCTGCTAGTCCACCATGACAGACTTCAGTCCGTTCGGAGTAGTGCCCAGTTCGGTAGTGTTGGATGAAACTACAGACTGGTGTTTTGGAGCCAGGTTTCCCATGCTCCGGTTAACATATTTTGTCATACCGAGGCCATCGTGGACAGGGGAGGGCACATACCAGGGGTTTTGGGTATGTCAGGTCACACCATGCTGCACAGATGGCAATAACATAAGCAGAATCAAGAGTGTCTACACTTTAGCGATATAATCCCACTTGATGAGGCGACTTCACAGAGTCCCAAACTGCCTTGCCTGCCTGCTTGCATTAAGGCCGATTCTACACAAGACAAAATTCCTGTTCAGACAGCTCTTCGTGCAAGACTGTGTGCTTAAGGCGTGGAACAAAATGTGTCGTCATGATCGGGCCGACTGAACACTTTCTATCGCTCAGATTTTTGTCCCTGTCTCTCTAACCCTGGCAATACACTTCGACCAGACTTATACGTAGCTGTCTAGCCGTTTATACTTCATTGCCTATCTTTATCTGTCTATCTATCCATCCATCCATCAATCAATCAATTAATCCATCCATCCATCAATCTATTTATCTATTTATCCATTAATTCATTTATCAATCCGTCCAGTCACCCATCTATTTGTCTATCTATATCATATTTATACGATAAAGTTTATATATTTACTTATAGGTAATCCCTCAGTAGTTCATTTCCTCTTTCATCCTGAAAGATTTTTCACACTAGGCATCACCTCCTCTGCCCCAACTATTCTTAGCCGGTCAGCTGGCCACAACTTCGGCGTGTTCACCTATTATCTACTCGCCGGGTTACTTATCCCTCTTGAGCTTAGTGTGCTCTTTTATTTCTTTGGTTGCTAGATTATTCTCCTCCCCTCCCAAAGGATCTCTTTATCTCTCCGCGTCTCACTACTATGCGTCTGGCAGCACCGGATTAGTCGCCTAGCCCGGGTCCTAATTGCATGTCCGTGCAGTAGGCCTGGCTTTGCCTAAATGCCCATAAGCATGACACAACAAACTGGTAGAAACCTCTTCGATCCTCCATTCTAGGCGCGCCAGACACAAGCTCAGATAATATGTGCATAGATGTGTGTCTACCGCATGAATGGCATATATAAATATTCCAGCTTTATACTCTTCCATTAACAAGCAGCTGTCGTGTACCGGTGCGCTAACGATACGACTATCGATAGATGTCTTGACTAACACATGATGCCAAATGTTAGCGGTTGGATGGAGTTTACGTTATCCTCACCTCCACTGGTCCAGCGTTGCTGCGTTTTGACTAGTTTAGGATGTTGGACATTTGCACAAGTGCTTCAGTCTTGGTCTTGAACGTCCGCTCCTTCAATCAAACGACAGACCAAGAAATCTCAGGCACTCGGAGAATCCCCCAGCCTTATATAGCTAAAATGGTCACCATGACTTATTGCCTTGATGCAACGCCTGGAATGACGGAATATGGTACATTATGGATAAATCGGGTTCGGAGGATATAATACAGGGAACTGCTGCATCCAAAAATTTAATGATGAAAGCATGCTTTTTGTTTGATGCATCAAAAGCAGATCGGTTGTCAATGCATGAAAGATAAATTCGCGATTCTGTACCTTCATTCCAAGAATGCAGCTCGCTAAGCTTAAAAAAATAAACTAACAATTAAATAAATACAAGAGCTATATTCTCCCTATTTTTTTTGCGAATGAAGGAGTGGTCGTTGAATTTTCCTACATTGATATGAGTAGATCTTACGGTTCCATCGATATCCACATGGCCTTGTTTCCTGAAAGGTATTTTCATCCGGGGTGGACTGCAAGTTCGATTTCGCACACCCAGCGAGGGTCGAATCGTGATGGTGTAGCATATAATATAGATAAATACAATTTTGCTTTCTCGATGATATCAACATAGAATGTAGTATGGAAAAATGTCTGGCCTTCCTTGAACCTTACGTCTGCCTTGTTACCCAAGGGCACTAGTGGAAGTGCGGCATAATGGTCAACATTTCGAGATTACACGCTGCACTCTCACGGTCAGAATCCTGCTGGTGTGCTGATAAGGCCTAGACGAGGACGAAGCTGCAGTCCACCCTGGATGAGAATATCTTTTATAAAGAAAGGCTATGCAAAATTCAATAGAATATAAGGCCCACTCCTATCAATTTGGGAAATTCCCAAATCTGTTGCCAAAAATATTTTATGTAATAAAAAGGGCGAAGTTTATTCTAGAAATGCCTATAGTATGGGGTGAGTTCAATACTTGTATTTTTTCGACTGTAATTAAAATTGCAGAATACTGTAAGCTTAAGGAAGCAATACAACTTAATATTAATATACTAACAATGGGTAGGTGTTCGAGGCTATTATCTGATATTGAATAAATAAAACAAAACTATTAAATAAGAATAAGCGGATTCTTGATGCCCAGTTATGTAAAACTTTACATGAAAAGATATGAATACCAAGATGGTGATAGGGTCACAGTTTCCTTTCGATATAGAGAAATGGGTTAACTTCGTTTACGCAGCTTGGTTGTGCTTCCATGGCCACTTAGTTGGACGCGCCTAGTCCGAAGTCCCCTGCTTTATTAGGTACCATAATTCCCAACGTCGAATCGTGGACTTAGTGCATTCCGGTAATGCCGACTACGATGCCAGCGAAACGTCTGAGAATGTACTAAGTTCACAGTTCGGCGCCGAAAATTATTATAACTACTATAGCAGAGGACTTCGGACAAGGCGCATTTAACTCAATGGCCCTGACAACACGACTAAGTTGAAAAAACGAGGTCAACCCACTAGTAAAATAAAAGTTAAGACCCTATTTGGCTTTGCATCAATTTTCAATAGAGGAGGAGATTCAGCAATTAGCTCTCAACACATTTGCCCTAAATGCTTTTTGCAATCAAAAGTGTGAACTTTATTGCAGAAACAGTCATAAAACGAAGGGAATTAAACACTCCCATTAAACCAATTACATTGAGACTGAAAAGTATTTTAGGGTAACGAAGTAAGAAAAGGTAATATACAAATATTTAAAATTATTAGGTTTTCGAGGCCACTATTTGATCATTAGTCACCCGAGGTCGATAAAGGCGATGAAAGGTGACAGTGAATTATCCCACGATTATACGAGTAGGATATTAATGAATTTCATTTCCCAAGTGGTATTCACATCCAGGGTGAACTACATCTTCGATCTCACCAGGCTCCCATCATCACCTCGAACAAGAATCTAACCGGGACAGTTCAGTGTTTATTTTCGACACGACTTTCAAGACAATCCATGCCTCTACCATAGCACTATTGTTAGTTGTCAACTGGTATACGTGGTAGGATGGGGTAGCGACCGAAGTTGTTGATGTTACCCAGGTAAAGCTGAAAGGGCAGTCGATCTTGAATGATGGTACCATTTGGGAAGCAAGGCCAGGTGAAGTTAAATAGCCTACTCATGCCATTGTGACATCATAAGCACTATAACAGAGAATGCAGGACTAGGTACGTTTGACAAGGTCTCCCTGCGGCCCTGACCAGGTTGTTTAAACGAGGTTAAACCAGCAGTTAAAGGAGACAAACTTCGTTTTGGCCTTCATATCTACGATATATTAGAGGAAGCCACATCAGCTTCGAGGTAGGACTCCTTGAGTTGAGACATTGCGTTCCGATTAAATCAGATAAATGACCTGGATTAACCTCTTTTTGACAGGATTTTTAAACCCAATTTGATGCTTATGATAACGACCTCTGCTCTAACTAAGCATTTCACCATTGTTTGATGCGCCATTGGTTTTTTCCAAGTTCCATGATTATAGGAATAACAGGAAAATTGTCAACACAACAATTAACAGTGGCTAGGGAATACACTTGATAATCAGTTGTATACCTGCAAATTATTAGAATGCTTATGGCTGCTAACACTTGCTCTAAAGTATGATTCTCTTTCAGATCCGATTTGCAAAGAGGTCAAACAGAATCGTATCATTTTTCCTTTTCGAGGTTACCAGTAGACATGAAATGTATTCACCCTATTTCGTTTAAGGTGATAAAGGCGGGCGGTCCTTTCGATCTCTCTCAGGTTTCATGTCTTCCCTGTGACTCAAGAACACTCGTAGCAGTGTGGCATAGTGATCAACGTGTCAAGATTAAACGCTGCACTGTCATGGTTCGAGTCCCGCATGGAGTGCTAATGAGGTCTAGGCTAGGTTGAAGCTCCAATCCACCCTGAATGAGAATACCTTCCAGAAGCAAGGCTATGTGAAATTTAATGGAAACATGAAACCTAATCATATCATTGTGGAAACATTCAACTACCAATCCTTTATGACCTTAAACGAAATAGAGTGCATTTCTCTCAAATAGGAGTCGTGCCAGATGATGAAAATAGCGATGACTTGCTTGTATTAGCCTATTCCAGACGCTGATACTTCAACTAAATCTGCGATTTGAGTATAAGGTCATTGTCGAATGCATCCTTAAATTTCCATCCCAACAGTGCTTTCGTATTCAGGC